AGACCCTGTCTCAAAAAGACCAAAAAAAAAAACAAAAAAAAAACCAGTTTAACCCTGTGTCTTGCCCCTAGTCTGAAGCTATGGACTGAAGGTACACCTCCGTGAGACAGAGAATGAGTCCACACAGCACAAGCACAGTCCACCCAAGGCAGATCTGGACAGCACTGGACGTGTCAGAGAGTAACAGAAATCCTATTTGCATCACTTTGGATAGAAAATTAAAATACTAGGCAGAAGCAGGAGGATCTCTGTGAGTTCAAGGCCAGCCTGGTCTACATAGTGAGTTCCAGGACAGGACAGCTGGGGCTACAGGGAGACCCTGTCTCAAAAGGACAAAAAAAAAAAAAAAAATTACTAACAAGTTACAGTGAACATGGTAATCATTTCCTTGTGGCTAAACCTCAGGGTCAACAGCACTAAGATACAGTACAAGGATGACCTGGGCCTACTCAGGTGTGTAGAGTCATGAGTCTCCACGTCGAAAGTCTCAAATGACTAGAAGTGGGGTGGGTAAGGTTTGATAACTACCCTTTGTCAGTCTGTCACACAAACGTACTGCACTACTGTGTAAACTCTATAAGGGAACAGAGCACATGGCACAAAGGGCATGTTCTGACACAGCACCACCAATATGTTAGAGCTGAGATAAATTTCACTGTGCAGCTAGCAATCATTTGGCCTGGCACAAAGCAGGCAATGGGTAAAACTGTGAAGGGATGGCATTCATATGTCTGGCTTTCCCTTACGTACTGTTTCTAATTTGCCATGGCTTGAAGGAAAGACCACCAGGCAGGAAAGAACACTTGAAATGTGTCTGAGCTGGCAGTGGTACACACCTGTAATTACAGGTAACGTGGAGACCGAAGAAGTCCAAGGTCTGCCTTGGTTACATAGCCAAGGTCAAAGCCAGCCTGGTCTACGTGAGACCCTGTCTCCAAAATAATGAATCAACTTAAAATAAAATAAATATATCATAGCTGGGGATATGCCTCAGTGATTAAGAGCCTTTGCTGTTCTTGCAGAGGATCTGGGTTCAGTTCCCAGCACCCATGTGGCAGCTCACAACTACCTGTAACTCTGGTTCCAAGGGATCCAATGCCCACTTGTGGTCTCCATAGGAACCCAGCATGCATTTTGGTACCTGGACATGCAAACAATCATACACATAAAAGTAAACAAATCTTTAAAAAAAGGCAATGAAAACATGAAGCATATCTGACACAGCAATCTGCACTTGGCAGGTGAGCACGGCAAACTGTGAGGAACTGGGGACGGCTCACAGTGCGCACCCAGGAAGAGTCAGGAGCTATAGTGCCTAAGTTCACTGCACAAATTCCCAAGGCAGCATCTACTCAACAGGTAATGTTATCTTCACCTTACAGAAAGTGGGGCTCAAAGTGGTTAACTTCTGCCAAGTCACGCAGCCAAGCAGTGGTGAGCAGACTGAATCCAGAACAAGTGGTCACCAGCCAGAGCTCTTCACAGCAGCCAGTAGACAGACAACACTTGAGTTGGGATGGCATTACATGTTCTTCTCTAGTAGCTGTCTTCCTGACTGACTTTCCGATCAGATATACTCTCAGCAGATGAGGATTACTATATGAAAACGTTACAGTACAAACCAAACAGATGAACTGTGAAAGGGAAGCCAGGATGTTGGAGATGAGAACTACTATATATTGTAGGTGGTACACTCCCAAGAAGAGCTGGAGAGATCTGTGTTACATCTGAACCAGCCTGGTTAAGATCTCTCAAAGGGTCTGTAAGATGAGAGAAGGGATGCAAGGAGAGAAGGCGTTTGTTTTCTATTTTGGGTTCTTTGGTTTTAGGGGATTTTTATTTTTTGTTTTGTTTGGTCTTTTTGAGACAGGGTCTCCCGTAGCCCCAGCTGTCCTGGAACTCCCTATGTAGATCAGGTTGGCCTTGACCTCACAGAGATCCGCCTGCCTCCTGAGTGCTGGGACTACAGGGGTGCGCCACCACGCCTGGCTGGAAAAGGCGGCCTTTTGTAACTTCAGAATACACACACAGGGCTGGGAGATGGCTCAGTTGATAGAGTGCCTGTCCTACAAGCACAAAGACCTGAATTCAATCCCAGAACGGAGGGAACTGGAGGGAGCCTGGGAAGTCTTCTCCAAAAAAATGAAAGTAGCCAGCACCTAAGGAACACCCAAGGTTGACCTCTGACCTCCACATGCACTGGCACACATACACACAAAAAGCATACGAAACCTTTGTGGAAGGAGGAGGGTTATAAATACATGAACAAACACACATGAGGTTTGCAACATCTATAATCTACTGTGACAGGACTAATAAGATCCTTGCACACAGGCCAGGTACAAGGCTAGTTTTGTTTTGTTTTTATTATTTTTATTTTATATGTGCCTGCGTATTTCGGATTCCCCTGGAACTGGAGTTAAGGATGGTTCCTAGCCGCCATGTCGGTGCTGGGAATCAAACCACTGAAACATCTCTCCAGCCCGCAAAGCTATTCTTTCATGGCTCAATAAAAACTTAGGATTCTTGGCAAGAGGACGAGGCTGGGTTCAGAGGGGATTCACCTCTACCATTTCCAAACCTACAAAGAGAGGACATGCTGACCTAGTGGTTATTTAAATACATGGCCTCAACCTCTTTCAGTAGGCTTAACCAGAGTCATTCCTAATTAATGACACATCTAGCGTGAAGATCCTCCCTGCCCCTAGGAGTCACAGGAGTGGGAGACTGGAGGCTTGAAGGCATCTGTAGCCTCTTCTAGACAGAGGAGCCAGTCAGGAGTCGTCAGCTCTGACTCTAGGGAAGGGAGACACTCTATTATTCTAAGGCAGAAACTGGAAACATGAGCAGGAAGCCCAAAGTAAAACTACCGTGCTCACTAGACCTCATAGCCTTGGTTAACTACAAGGCAGCCAGATGTCAAGTCACATTTCATGGTCTCTGCGTCAACACCAGTAAGGACTTGGCCTGTGCTTGAGGGGTTGTCCCTTCTACAGGATGGGGCTGGGGGTGAAGGGACTCCTGGCAAATCTCCAAATGCTCGACCATCAATGCAGCAGAAGGACTTCCTTGACCTTTCAGACATCAGAACCAGACGCCACAGGAATCCAGGTGGTACAAGAGAAGGAAAAAGTGCATCCAGTGTTTACTGGCTGAGCAGCTGTGAGTCAGGCTCCAGGCGCTACTATATGGGCTGAGAATCTAACCAAGAAAGAGGTTGATCTGACCAGCAGACCCGCACATCTCCATTCTCTGCCTAAGGTGCCCAAACTACTCCGGGGTCCAAACAGAAAGTTCTCCCAGTAGCCCACAAGCACCAACAAAGTCTTTCTCCCTTCTGTGTCTCTGACTGAGGAGGTCACCTAGAACATTCCCACTCTGACTTACCAAACCCTCACAGCTGTCAAAGTCAGCCTGTGACCCCCTCCTCCTGGAGGTCCTGACCTCCAACCCACTTCAAAGTTACTTCTGTACTCTAAACTACCAATCACTACATAGTGAGGACCACTGCCAATTTGTTTAGAAATTGATTATCTCCTGGAAAGATGGCTCAGTTGGTAAAATGCTTGCAGATCAAGCATGAGAACCTGAGTTTGATTCCCAGCACCCACGTCTAAAAAAGAAAAAAAAAAGTCAACATGGCTGTGTGTATTACCACCCCAGCACTGGGAAAGCAGAGATGGGGATCCCTAGGGCTTGCTGCCCAGGCAGCCTAGCTTAATCAGCCAGCTCCACATTCAGTGAGAGTCCCTGTCCCAAAACATAAAGTGAGGAAGACACCCACCCAATGTGAACGTCTAGTCTCCACATGCACACACAAAAAAAATATCACCTAATCTGTATTTATTCAATAAATCTTGAGCACCTACTATGAGTTAGTGTGGTTCTGGGACAGAAGAAATAGCCACCAGAACTGGAGTTTTCTTCCCCAAAGGAAGCTCCTGGGGAGGGTTCTTTTACTGCTTTTAAAATCCTTCTTAAAAAGCCCAGAGCAGTGGCACACAACACTAATCCTAGCACTGGGAGGCAGAGGCAGGCAGACAGATCCCTGTGAGATGGAGGCTGGCATGGTATACATAAGTGATTTCCAAGTCAGCTGGCTACAGGAAAGCCCTTTCTCAGGAACCCTCCCCCCCCAAAAAAAAAACTTCCTGCGAAGATGTGGGTTGTACTCAGTACTTAATACCTATTTATTAGAGCCTTGTACTTCTTTGGTCCAAACTCTCTCAAATTGAAGTTACATAGACTAATGGGGAACAAAAGCTAACGAAGGCATTTTTTCAATGAACTTCCACTTCCTAAAAACCTCAGAAGAACAAGGAAGGAAAAGAAAACAGGCCACGGAAGCGCACACTGACACAGCACCTCCAAACGCCCTCCTAAGCCACGAAGAATGATCTTTCCCCCAAGCCCTGAAGCTTCACACTCAGTGCTTAACGTAAAGTCTAAAGCGCTTCAATGTGTTAAGTTTCTGAACCTCTTCTTTTTAATGAGCAAGTCCTCGGCTGAACTGTGCACAGCCGCTTCAGAAGCCTCCACCGAGGCTGCCTACCAGGAGACCACCCTAAGCTGGAAGCACAAGACGAGCTCCAAGACCAACCCCTCCAGAAGAATCCACAGCTGAAGGAGCAATTTTCACTATCATCAAAAGCCGGGTCCAGGCGGAACGCTCCAAGTTCCCGAGATCAACAGGATCTCCAGGGAGCCGCGCGCCGCACGAGGTGTGCAGAGTCTGCGGCAGGAGAGGGGTCTCGGGTAGTGCCAGCTTCCGAGGGGGCTTTTGTGATGAACGACAAGCTGGCACCACGGCGGGCGAGGGTGCAGCCGGGTGCGCCATGCGGCGCATCTGCCACCTGAGCAGCACCCCCAACCCCGGTCCTTCGCAGTCGGGTGCCAGACACCAGGAGCCCGAGCCCGGCCCCTGCCCCGCGACGCGCCCCTGGAGCCCCTACCTCCCCCGGACCAGGGTCTACAGGCTACCGCCGGCCCCGCGCACTCACCTCAGCAGACTGGAAAGGGGGTGGCTGGAGGAGCCCAGGCCGCCGCCGCCCCCCGAGCCGCCGCCGCCGCCGCCGCCGCCGCCGCC